TTCTCTCAAGGCCGCCGACCACAGTTATCTCTCTCAAGGCTGAATGGCTGGCCATAGCTATCTCTGTCAAGGCCGGGTGGCTGGCTATGGCTGTGAACTCCTGTTTTTCTGATTCCTTTAGAATGGCGTTTCTTAGGCTAAGTTATTGGGGGGGGGGGCATTTCATTGGCCCAAAGCCCCATGTCCTCATAATGGAGCGGGGGTCTTTCATTCCCCCATTTTCTTTTGTACCAAATGAAATCTTTCATTTTAGGATGGAGAATAAGGGGTTAGCTCTATCTCTGACTGTCTGAGCCTCCGATATTGCTTGGTTAGGATCAAAGCCTGGGCAACAGAAACCTTATTCTTGATGAATTGCACCAATCTGTTGAGGATGTATGACCCAAACAATAAAATGAGCAGGAGGACGATTAGGGGGCCCATAATGGTGGAGACAAGGGTCGTAAACCATGGTGACCTTTGGAACTATCTTTTAAATCATTTCTGTTGAGCATGGCTACTTGGAGCTGTCTGAATTGGCCGGTCTCTATAAGGGCTGCAGTCCCTGTATCTACCCCAGCAGGTATTCCGCCCATGGTAATTTTTTTTAGTAACAGGGCCAGCGTCAGGGAAACAGGCTCTCTGGTGATGTCCCTCTTTATGTCAGGAGGACTATTAGGGGGATCAAGGGGACCCCCGGGTGAGTCTTATCTTTAGTGGGTTTGGAGAGCGTTGAACTAGATGTCTCGGTGTCCTTAGCTTTGTCGGGTTCCTTGGCAGCCTTTACATGCAACGTGTGGACCCAAGCCGCTGTCCCGTCAACCTCGGCTCTAGGTTCCTAGATTGATGGCGTCGGACCCAGACAGAGTCCCCAATCTTGAATGGGTGAGGTACCACCGGGCGGTTCAGTTGCTCCCGGCAGGCAGGGGTTTTTACACCGTCTTTTGCATCAGTTGGAGGGCTAGTGGCAAAAGAGGAGATATCAGAGTAAAGGAAATTTACAATTGGTGGGGGAGCCCCATACATGATCTTAAACGGGGTTAGGCCATGAGGCCCAGGAGTATTCCAGGCTCGGTAAAGGGCTAGGGGGAGTAGGAGCACCCAATCTCTAGTGCCAGTTGTAAGCGTTAATTTGGTTAAAGTCTCCTTAATGGTTTTATTTGCACGTTCTACCTGTCCTGAGCTCTGGGGGCTGTATGCACAATGAAGTTTCCAATCGATCCCCAGTAGCCTGGCCACCTCCTGACTTACCTGGGAGACGAAGGCGGGCCCATTGTCTGACCCCAATATCTGGGGTATTCCATACCTGGGAAAGATGTCATCTAGGAGTTTTTTGGTTATCACGTTAGCGGTCTTTTTCTTGGTAGGCAAGGCCTCTGTCCATCTATGATGTAAGCTTGTCGCTCGGGGCTCCATTC